TTAAATACATGTATAATTGTCATGCACTTTTAAAATAATTGCTTTAAAGTATATTTGTTCTTTGATATAGTATAACCACATGAATTAAATACATGTATTTTAATAAATGTATTAAATTTGCAATATATGTATTGTAATCTGTTTAAGTTATACTTTAAATTTTGAAGAACATATCTGAGGTACAGGTAGTCAGTAATTTAAAATATGTTTACATTATTTTTTATTACCATCTAGTTTGAGAGTTAAGGACTAGATCACTGAAAAATGGCTACTCACTGTTGTCTTATTCAGAGCTCTGTTGCTAAATCAAGGGTGTTGAACAAATAATCAATATAGGAAACATTTAAAATTTAGGGAAAAAAAGCCAAAACAAAAAAAAATCTACCCTAGCCCACCACCCCGTATTGTGCAGGAAAAAAGTAACGCTAGTGAAAAGGTGAAAACTCTTCAGAGTTCATATTTAATGTCTTGAGCAAGCTTGAAGTACTGGAGTAGAAGCATCCCCTTTTTATCTTATCTGCCTAAGTTGATCTAGCTACAATCTCTCTTAGCAACCCATTCGAAAATCAGTCTTAACACATGTGTCCCTTGATAAACTATAAATTCCCTGAGGCTGGAGACCATGCTTTACCCTGCACTATGTCTTGTGGAGATGTGGTGATCTGAGATTTTACGTTATGTGGACAAGGAAGACCTCATGAAGAAGGTGCCATTTGAGCAAAGATTTGAAGGAGGTGAGGAAGATTGCTATGTAGCTATCTCGGGGGACTGGGAGGAGGGAGACTTCTGGTCTAACTAGAGCATACCCGATGTGTTTGTGGAAAACAAGGAGGCCAAAGCAGCTACAGTCAACTGAGAAAGGGGAAAAGCAGTAGGAGAGGAGGTCAAGAGAATCTAATAGCAACCAGGATTTGAGATTTTGCTCATACTGAAGTAAGGAGTCACTGGAGATTAAATCAAAGGTCAGAAGTACCTATTTGCATGTTCAAGGGTCTGTTTTTTGAGACTATATCAGAGGAGTGACATGATCTAACTCACATTTTAAAAGTATCCTTCTGGCAATTTATGCTGAGAACAGACTTAAGGGAGACAAATAAGGAAGCAGAGAGACCAGTGGAGGGGCTATAGCCAAAAAGTAGAGGGGAGATGATAGGGGCTTGAACCTGGTGGTAGTGATGAAGATGTGAGAAGAGGTCAGATTCTGAATCTGGCAGGATATGGTGATGGGACTGTGTGTGTAGGATGAGGGAAGGTGATACATGGTTTAGAATCTTATTTCCTGAAGGACAGATAGCCATTCACTAAGATGGCAGAATATCAAAAGTGCAGTTCTATAATTTTGACACTTATTAGATAAGTCTAAGTGGTTACTTTAAGTCAGTGGTTTAATCTATGAGTCTGGAGTTAGGAAATGGAGATTGAAACACGGGAGTCATTAGATGATGTTTAGAGTCCCATGACTATAGGAGACCACCTAAGTAGAAAGAACATATATCTAGGATTACAGTTGGGGCCAGAGCAACAATGAGAGGTCATGGAGATTAGAAAGAACCAATGAGGGAAGCCAAGAAGGACCAGCTGCTGAGGAAGGAAGGAAACAAGAGAGAGTGGTGCTTCCAAGGCAAAGAGAAGAAAGTGGTGCAAGAACATGGCCAATTCAAATTCTCTACACATTACCTCACTAATTACATCCTGCTCATCCTTCAGCACAGGGAATTTCTTTGACGAGACTTGTCTAAGCAATCCTGCGAGATAGATGACCCTCCTCTATGTCCCTAAATAATAGAGGGTAGACCTCAGTTATCATTCTTATCAAAATTACGACTGCAGCTGTGGCTTCTCTTCTCTTCTTTCCCCATCCCCAACTCCCTACCCCCTTTCCCACCCCCAAATTGTGAATTCTTTGAGGGTCAGAAATTTCCAGGGGAATTGCTGGAATCTAGTAATATATCTGATAAACAGGAAAGAAGAAGTTCCACTTATTGAGAGCATACTGTGTTTTAGGTAACAGGTCAATACCTTTATGGTGGTTATCTTAACTTAGGTGCTCAAAAAATGTTGATAAAAGAAGGAAGGAAGTGCTGATGGACAGCAGAAATAACACAGATGATAGACAAGGGCAACTCAGTGCATAGCGAGAGCCCTGGAGAGAAGAGGGATGCATCAGGAGACCACAGCTCAATGTCACTAGCTATCAGGATTATTCAGCTAATTCTTTTTGTTTTCTTTCCAAAATAGTCAAGCAAAATTCTCCAATATAATTTTGTTTCCTTTACAGATTTTCCTGTAGTTAGAAAGTATCGACTAACAAACATAAATATCTCTTCCACCTGGCTGCTGTATTTCTCACTGTGTATGAATAAGTTAGCGTTCTGTTTTAGACATTAGTCTAATGTAAGTTTAGTTAGTGTGTTTCTATTTAGACTTCTAAGAATGATCAGTCTCCTCGTTTTCTGCTTTTCTTTGATCACTAAAGTGCTAAAATCACGTTGTGAGATAAAAACGGGGCTGACTCAGGCAGGTACAGGAGACCGTACATAAGAAATCCAGCACACACATACGTGTGACTGACTGCTAAAGGAAAATATTGATTTCCATTTATTTTATCTCTTGTTGACACACAATAATGGTCACAGTCATGAATCTTGTATAATGGACTGGGGAGAGGTTGTAAGGCGCGATATTTTGTTGTTGCCTCAAATTGCTTCCATTTTTTTAAGTTTGAGTTTATTCCCTAGGCAGAAAAGTAGAATCCCAGAACCAGAGTAACAAATTCCATATTTAAATCTACCATTTGATAGTGTAGCCAATCTTGCTAAGCTAGATCAATTTGTGATGCTCTGACAAGACAGTGTTTGTAGTCCTTTGAAGACCAATATTTGAACTGTGCTGACACAACTAAGGTAATTTTACTTTTAAATTGCTAACTGGGCATAAATTTGGACTTCCTCTGTGATACCTACACTCTGTTTCTCTAAATTCAAGTCAAAAAAGTTCTGGATGAAATTATTTGCATCAATGACATAAAATAGGTAAAACCTTTGCCATAGTTTTCACTTTTTTAAATGTGTTGGACATTAATACTTCCTGTACTTTTACAGACATCAAGGAGATGAGAATTTACATCTCATATATAATATAATTCATTAATCTAAAGTTTAAAAATCATCACCCCTAAGACTTCTCCTAATTTACGCATTCAATTTTCCCACAGTATTCTATGCAAAGTTCATTCTTATTGCTACCTTACTACACAGTATAGCCATTTGTTTCTGTCTCATCTAAAAAACTGTAAGCCTCTAGAGGGCAGCATTTATATCTTACTCTTTATTTTTATATTACTAACACTTAAATAGGTCTTGAAGTGAACGGTATCCAAATACACGTCATTTCACATTTCATTGAATCTTTAAAAATGATCACCTTGAAAATACCATTTATCAATTACTAATCTTGAAACCTAAGTAACATTACTTACATAATAAAAAATTTTAGTTAATTGTATGAAAGAATGTTCAATCTTTACCAAAACCATACTAAGGATGTAAATACTCATTTTTTTTCCACGATGAAATGTATATCAAATAACTATGACAGGCATTATAACAAAAAATGCTATGAAAACTAAGCTTTAAATTTTGCATGAAATGTTGACACTATGACTTACCCTTCCAGTGGTAGTTCTAAAGACAAATTTTGTATAAATTATACAAAATTAATAATCTTAAATAATCTCAAATAATAAAGTTAAATTGTGCAAGTTAAATTGTGTTTAACTTATAAAAACATTTAAACTGTAGAAAACTATATTTTAAAATTTTAAATGTAATTATTCTTTAATTTATGACCTTGTTAAAATTTTATTTATCTATCTATCTATTTATTTATTTATTTGGAAGCTGGCCAGTGTGGGAATCCAAACCTGTGAGCTTAGTGTTATAAGGTTGCACTCTAATCAACTGAGCTGACTGGCTAGCCTCAGTTTATGACTTTTTAAGTGTTCAGAAAAAAATATATTCTTTTCATTGAACATCTCATTGGAAAGTTTAGAAAACAGCCCATTTATTATGTCTCATCATTTATATAATCTAGTTTTCCTCTGCTGTGATGACGGAAGCAAGATATTAGCATTCTCAATCATCCCTGGCCATGACGTATTTTGATTGGAACAAAAACAGAAGTTTCTAACACTGCGTTTCCACAAGCTGAATATCTTGGCATTAATCTTACCTATTCCTGATGAAATGACCTGCTTAGTGCTTTTGCCTAAGTTTCCAGGCCTAAGACTTCTAGATTCTCATGGTACAACATTTCTATACTTCATAGTTATCTGAGTTGAGTTGATGTCCTGAAACTCTTGTCTTCCCTTGCAAACCCATAATCTCCAACTCTCAACCCTCTACACATGAGAGCCAATCGCACTGGGAAGAAACTGATGCAGCCAAGTTAGCCATGTGACTGACTTGGGAGACTACCTATCACCTGGATTTTTCCTTAGAATAGTGTCTTCTAGAATGGACAGAACCCTTTCCACTATGTTAGAGCTTGCCAAGCCCTTTGCATTACCATGCTCTGTTTTATTGTGCTTAACAGTCGCTTTCCTAAGAGCTCGTTTGACAGTATTTAACCCCATGCACAGCTAGCTCTTTAGTCGTCAACCTACCCAATACCAGCTTCCTAATCCCACACCATTGGCCTTTGGTCCTGCGGTCCAATCTTACCCTTTTCATAAAGTTAGGGTATGATGTTTATTCATATAAAATAAAAGCAGGGAAACTAGAGGAAGTTTATCAAGCAAACTTCAGTTTTATGAACATTGAAAGAACCAGTTCTTTGAATCATCCAGCAAGATATGGCTTGAACACCAGAGAGTTTCTGGCTACAATTACTGTGAAAGTGGAAAAACACTGAAGCATGTCTGGCCCATAGAGTTAGGACTATTTATAGTTAGCAACTTGACTGTATGCTAAAGCATTTTCATTTTATGGTATACATCTTACCTTAACTTCCACATGTGCCATCAGTACTGCAAAATTGGTTAGGTGGTTACAAGAGCATGTAGTGTGTGTCTTATTTGTTGTCAGGAGCCGACAGCCTTGCGTTGACCAATAACCTGTCATTGTGCGCTTGGAATAGCTCCAAAATGAACAATTAGGGTTGAAATTTTCCTCTGACTGCTACAGGGGGAAAAAAGAAAACAATAAAGCAAATAACTTCTTTCTGATCACGTAAATTAGGTAGGTATTTTCCTTTACAAGTGTTTTCATATTAAGTGAGCCTCATCAACTCTAAGCAAAATTAAAAATATGTTATTTGTCCCCTCTGATTAGAGGCAAGTTCACTTTATTTTTATCATTAATATTGAAAGAACACTAGTATCAGTTTTCAGAATCATATCTATTAATTTACATTGCAAAGTAAAAAAGTTAATTGCTCTAATAACCAGCTTCTGAAAGGATGGTCTTAAGAAATCTTGGTTGAATTTACAACTACAATCTTTATACATACACAAAAATATATCTTCACATAAAGACATAATTACCTATAATATATATGAAACCATGTCCATTTCCATTGAATATATTATGGCTCTTCTTTAAAAAAAATAAATTTTATTGTGTATACTTAAGGTATACAACATGATGTTATGCGACACATACAAACAGATAAAAGGTTACTATTATGTAGCAAATTAACATATTCATCATCTTACACAGTTGCCTATTTCTTTGTTTTTGAGAACAGCTAAAGCCTACTCATTTAGTACAAATCCCAAATGCAGTACAATTTTATTACTTATAGTCCTCATGCTGTACATTAGATCTCTAGACTTGCGCTAGTTCTTTTTAATTATGAAGAAGTATATATAAATCCATCTATGAATGTTTTTAACATAGATATTTATATATACAAAAATTATTCTCCTCCTACAAATCTCACTCCTGGGGAAAAAAATATCAATGCATTTTATAGATAATGAGTTGCTGTATGTCAACAGAAAACGTATTAAAAGAAAATTAATACACTTAATGTTCATGTTATAATTGATATGGGTAATGTGAAGAACTAAATTTAACATGCCATTTTCTTACCTTGATATGTTTAACAGTAAATACCACAGGATCAGCCAAATAAACCTTATTACTGAACTCTTTGTTTATTGCTGCTGTAATAACAGGGGAATTGACAATAACAGAATGATTTGTGGACATAGCTTCTGTTCCCAACTTCATACTGGCATTCTCCGTGGACAAATAAGGACCCAAGTTGTTATATAGGACAAAGGCCACTCGGATCTCTCCTAAAATAAAAGCAAATGTGAATTATAAATTGGAAGAAACTCTGATTACTTTGTACATTTTACCTAGCTAGTTATAATTAGATGGTAATGAAATGTGTATAATATGGATTCACACAGAAAACACTAAGCATTCATTTCAAAGTACCAAATTAGTCATGAGGAAGGGAAAGTTAAATTATGCTAAAACAACTACATATCAGTACTTAAAAAATGAACCTCCATCCCTATCTCATTCTACTCAAAATTGAATTCAAGATGGATCATAGACCTAAACATAAAACCAGAACCATAAATCTTCTACAACAAAATATAAGATAATAACTTTGTAATGTGAGGAAAGCAAAGATGTCTTGAATAGGACCCAAAAAACAGTAGCCATAAAATGGTAAACTGAACATTATCAAAATTGAAAATTTGTGTCTATCAGAATATATCATTAAGAAAATGAATAAGCAAGCCACACACTAGGGAAATAATAGGACTCATGAATATATAAAGCATTTCTACTAATCAACAATAAATAATAGCTAACACTAAAACTGCAAATTTAAACATTTTTAAATTTAAATTAATTTTTTTTTAAATTTTAAAATTGTAAGAGACATAAATATACACTTTAGGACCAAAAGATAAAAAAAAGGCCAGTAGACATATGAAAAATAATCAGTATCATTAGTAGTTTGGAAAACATAAGTTAAAACCACATTGAGATACTCATTTCATACCCACTAGAATCTTGAAAAGTTGAAAAGACTGATCACACTAATGTTGATAAAGATGTGCAACAATTGGAACTCCTGTACACTGCTGGTAGAATGTAAAATACTTCAACTATTTGGAAAAATGTTTGGCAATTTCTCATAAAGTTAAACATACATCTATCCTTCCTACATAAATGAAAACATATATCCACAAAGTAAGAAACTTGTGGAAAACTGTTTATAGCATCCTTATTCATAATAGCCCCAAACTAGAAAAAACTCAAATAGGAGAATAAGCAAATTACAACAATAGTATATTATATTAATATAATAGAATATACTATGCACCAATAATGAACGAACTATTGATAGATGAAAAATCATGAGTGAATCTCAAGAATATTTTGCTAAGTTAAAATACCCAGTCAGAAAAGAGCACATATTGTATAAATCCAGTTATATGAAGTCTAAGGATGGGCAAATTTTGTGTATAGAAATAGTAATGAGAAGAAAATTTCATTAACGGGAAATGGAGGTTGAGAAGACTGGTAACAGACACTAAGGAAACTTCTGGGTAAAAGAAGAGATTTATTTTCTTGTTTTATGTGATATTACCCATGTATGTACAACTGTCAATTTACTCAAGCTAAATGCTTTATGTGCTTATATTTTATTGTATGTAAATTATATCTCAATTGCAATTTTTTAAAAATACAAGGATTCAAATCTTTACTTGTTTTAAAACTCAATTATCATGGTCTTTTGAGGTAACTGTCCCACAAAGTCACCAAATCCTTCCACCTTATTTTTTCCTTTATGACAATCTCTTAAACACAATCCTCTATAAATCTAAACTTCTTTTAACATGTTATTTTATTGTACCATTTCTTTTCTTAAAAAAAAAGTCAAACCCTATGTCTTATTTCTGGTATAAATGCATATCAGTTCACCAAGAGACAGACACTGCCCTAACCACTGTGGTTACTAGAATGAGGAGGTCACAGTCCCTATCTCTGAATCTTAGAGTCAAGTGAACAAAGAGAGATAAAATAGAGAGTCAAGTTGGAAAAAAGACAAAAAAAAAGTTTTAATTAATATATATATATA